AAATTAGAGACATGATTGCAGAGGCCAGCCAGGTGCCCAAGGAGCCAAGCAAAGAAGACGCCCAGCTCCAGAGACTCAGGTACAGATGGGCAGATGAGAGGGGGCAGGGTAGAGACCAGGGGCTACCAGCAGGGTCAGCAGGGAAGCTGCTGAGAGGAGCAAGGTGCTGACCCAGGCCCAGGAGCACATCTGGATCCTGCCGACTGGGCTGCTCTGCTCCCCATCAGCCCCAGCTTTGAAAAGCACTGATTGCACATCTGGGCCTCATTGCCGTCTTTTGTTTTCAGGATAGAAAACATGAATCGGGAGAGGCTGCGCCAGAAAAGAATAAACTCTTCCATAAAGACAAGCAGGAGGGTGACTATGGACTGAAGTCACCCCACACTGCCGGCAAAGACTGGGGTGTCATGCAACTCTGCAGAGAGCTGCCATACCTGGAGAGACTTTTCTCGATTAACTGGAGCCTTGTCAGAACCTTCCTTAGGAGGGAAGGCTACAGGTCATGGGGCAGCCTCAGTTGTCCACCTCATGTATTACTGGCTGAAATAAACCTCTAAGTACGGGAGCCTCACCTCTCAGAGCTTTGCAACAGAGCTCCTGCTTCGGCCTAAGCCCATCCCACAGTTACTGCCCAGTGCTGTGACAGCACATTGGGCAGCAGAGGATTGTGGGTAGGTCCTCAAGGAGCATGCAGCTAGGAGGGCTGGGATACATGAGCAGGCATTTGGGCTAGACCTTCAAAAACACAAAGAAACTGAACACAGTGGTCAGGAAGGAAGCTGGTGGCAGGAGGTGACAAGGAAGCCAGGGATGACAGGTTGTGCAAGAGACTTGGGAGGTGCGTCTGGGAGGAAGACATGTAAGAACCTCAAAGTCCATTGAGCTGCATCCCCAGGCCAGACGTGTGGGTCTGTTTGTTTCCTGACACAGTGGGTAGTGTGTCACGTGCACATGAGGGGTTACAGAGCAAGTGACATGCAGAGTCACCTCTTCCACCACGGGAATGGAACTCATCTTAGGCTCAAAGCAAATATCTTCACCTGCCAAGCCATCTCACTGGTCCTGATGCTGTTGTTATGAGGAGGGGTCTGCCTGAACCACAGTACATGTCTGGTGGTCAGAGGGCAACTTGTGGAAGTCAGTTCTCTCCCTCCACCATGTAGATCCCAGGGACCAGTCAGGCTTGCCACAAGCGCGTTTACCTGCTGGACCATCTCACCAGCCCTGCAGGTTGTTTTGTATACCTCCCCAGTGAGGTAGCTCAGCTGTAAAGGGGTTTGCTGCCAAGACTGCCGTGAGTCTGATCCCTGGTACCCACGAGGTGGAAGGAGACTCAAGAGAGTTGGCTTCTGACCTCCACAAGCTCCATGAAGTATTCAGTGTGCACACACAAGTATAACTTAATTTTGTTAATCACATAAGCTCTGCCCTGGTCAGATTTCCCAGAGACAAACCAGAATTTGAATTCCATATTAGCTTGGAAATCGAGCATCGTTAGTGTCAGGCGGGCGTCACTTGTCTACCGGATGGGAAACATTGCGCTGGCCTGCAAGGACATTCTCTAAATCTGGTTTATACTTCTGCCATCATTTTATTCTACTCCAGGGCTCTGGCATGCAAGAAAATCCGTGCCTAAAATGTAATACCTTCCAGTTGATATGAGCTTGGGTCAGGGTTCTAACAATTTCTATTAATCTCGTTGCCATTGCCTGGGGCCATGGCTGAGCCCTTCCTACAATGTCCATGACTTCTGTGTCTTCCCAGTCTCCACATCCATCCAAACTTCATCCTCATCAAGCTTTAGCTCCAAGTGTGTTAGGATTAGTGTGTGTGTGGGGGGGTCATTGTGTCGCGCCCCCTACCCCCACCCCAGTTGCAGCTTTTAGTGAAGTCATTGTTGAGAAACAGACCAGGGAATTGTTAGAATTACCCTCGAGGAACAATTATTCCACATGGATAAGTCATTTAAACAAATGCTTCCTGTGCTCAGTTGCACAGTTAAAAATCATACATAGCTCCTTTCAAGCCTCAGCCCTTTCCCAGAGCCTCAACGCCTACTATGAAGGCATTGCTAAGTCCCTGAATTAAAAACTATACTTCCCAGACTGCTCTGCGACCCCATTCCCTTGACTTTTTTTGTTTTTTAGAGCGTGTTTTAATATCACAGTACTAAGAACTCCCTCTCTCTCCTTGTGTACCTCCCTTCCCGTGCCTCCTCGGACTGATGCCCGCTCTCTGCGTGCATTTTATATTTGCAAAGAACATACATTGTGTAAAATGTTTCTATCATTATGAAGGATTGGGAAGTTTTCAGTGCTTGCCTTTCAATATTGTGACTGATACTTACTTCTCATCCTTTCGGGATTCACTGTCAGTTATTTAGAGGCGTAGAAGGGACAAAACTGCTGGGGTGGTGGTGTGGGGATTAACCGGATGGAAACTTCCACTGACTCCCCGACCGGGAGTGCGAGCCACTTTAAGGCGCTCCAGGCGCTACCCTGAGTGCTCAGCGCTGACCCAGCTCGGGAGTTTGGTTTCCGACTTTGCAGTTCTCCAGGGCAAGCACCAAAAAAAATCGCACGTGAATGGCAGTGTAAGACACGGTTGTAAGAGCACCCATTAGAAGAGAAAAGGCACGAGCCACGTGTCGTCAGCCCCAGTGGCCTAATGGATAAGGCACTGGCCTCCTAAGCCAGGGATTGTGGGTTCGAGTCCCACCTGGGGTAGAGGTCGGTTAGAGCTCTCAGCTCATTTTTTTAAAAATGGCGTCCACAAAACAAAAACATTCTGATATGCTGCGCATGCTCGAGATGGGAAGACAGAAGAATCGAGCAAATGGCTCCAGTCATAAGCAGGCAGCTCCAAAGAACCGATCGGTAAGCCGGTAGGAAGTGCGCGCCGGTGCCTGCGCGAGACTCCATCTCCAAAACTAGAGTTGCACCACCCCAGGTGGGACTCGAACCCACAATCCCTGGCTTAGGAGGCCAGTGCCTTATCCATTAGGCCACTGGGGCGCGATAAAAGGTCAAGTTCACGTGGTCCGTGATAGCGCGGCGCGCTGACGTGGCCAACCCTATCCCGGAACAGAGACCTCAGACACGGAGGAAACGCCGGGTCACGGAGTCCCCAGACGCGGAGGAAAGCCGGGCGATGACGTGCTGTGTCGCGAAGCGCTCACGAGGCCGGCCCGAAAGCATCCGAACCGGCCCGAAGTCGGATGAGCTCTCAGCCAAGCCACGCCGCCGCGCTGCCCAGCGGCCCGCAGCAGGGCCCGCATGCCGCCCCTCAGTTACCGATGCCACTCGGCACACCCCTTGGCGGGCTGCTGGAGCGGAGCCTGACCTTCATCAAATAATACGGTCTAGGGAAGAACCCGGCGCAGTGAGACCGCGTGGCCTAATGGATAAGGCGTCTGACTTCGGATCAGAAGATTGAGGGTTCGAGTCCCTTCGTGGTCGGAAGGAAATGTTTTCATTCCCCTCGTTGCTCCTTCTAATTGTATCTGAATATAATCCTTGTTTTAATCGGAAAATGTTTCCCAATGAGACTTGAATGTATAACTCCTCCTAAGCAGGTGGTTTTGGATTCAGAGTCTGATGAAATGTTTCCTGCTGCTCCTTTTAAATTTAATATTTGGGGCTGGCAGTGGTTGCGCATTTCTTTAATTCCAACACCTGGGAGGCCGAAGCAGGGTGAGTTCCAGGACAGCCAGGACTACACAGAAAAAACCTTATCACAAAAAAACAAAAAATTTGTGATATGTGGTTTGCTAGGTTCAAACTCGCAGCCTGTCCGCCTTAGCCTCCTGAGGGCTGGGATTGTAGGCGAGTGCGTGTCCCGTTTGAGGGCTTAAATCGTGCATGCGTATCAGAACGTATGTCTACACGTAACGAATTCTTACCGAAGGGAGTCCACCAGGGCAAACGCCCAACTTCACCCCCTGCTGCTGCCGAGGCGCTGCAGTGAGAGAAGTCTTTGGATGCCTCACCCCTGCACAACTCTGCTTCCCCACAGCCCTCACAACCCTTCCCGTTATGGAGGACAGGGGTGGGGAGACAAGGTTAGGTTAAGCCCTGCCTTGACAAGTCTGGCAGGGCAAAAGCATGACTTTGGGAGGCCGGCAAAGGCCTCTTTTTAACTGTTTCCTTCATAAAGAGGTAACACACACCAATGCAATGTCCTGTTTCCTGTTTTCTTTAGCAAAACCTGCCTCAAATTCACAGAAATCCATCTGCCTGGTGCTGGGGTTAGACTGCACCCTCACACAAGGCTGTTAGTTGGGTTTTTGTTGTTTCCAGGGTTTCTCTCCCCCTTTTGGTTTTTTCAAGATAGGGTTTCTTACCTCAAACTCAGATCTGCCTGCCTGCCTGTGTCTCCCAAGTGCTAGAATGGCCCAGCGGGTTTGTTCTTTTACAGAAGTGGGACAGCAGTAATTTCTAGATTTTGAGGCAAGGCTGTTTAATTTGATAAAATACAGTCTTTGCTAAGTGGGTTATCCCCAAATGTAGATGGACCTGGAGCTCACAGATGGCTTTAATGTCCATACCAGAGTACCACACCAGAGCTATCCCTAAATGACAGGACTGGCACCCCTGAAGACCCTGCTGTCCCACTGGTCATCCATTCTCAGGCCTGTGCATTGGAACCCTCACATGACATGCTGTCCCGTGATTTAAGCTATAGCAGGTGAGATGGGGGTGCTCAGATATCTAGAAACCTTGGAGCCAGGCTTGAAGCTTGTGAGGACAGTTAACTCAGCAACTGGGCACAGGTCCTGACTCACAACCGTCTCCTCCAACCACCTTTTGTGTGTGTGATGTGGGCCAGAGACTATCCTCACCGTAGAGTGTGGTTCCAGGCTCTGCTGGTCAAGTTCCAGCAGCCCCAAGGCCACAGTCACTGGCTCCCTACAGTCTGCCTCTTAGACAACTGTTCACAGATTAAATGCTCCAGGTGGGGCCACCTCAGAAGAGTTCACCACTGAAAGACAACACCCCACAGAACGTAAATGCTTTATTTTAATGTCCAAGTGTGCAGTGAAGGGCTGGCGCTCCCTCCTGGCCTGTTTCACAGGTTCTCGATGGGCTGGTGAGGCCAGTACGGGTACTTCTTCTTGTCCAGCTTGGTTTCCGGGAAGACTTCATTCAAGTCATCAATGGTCATCTGATCAAAGGGGATCATCATCTTAATCTTCTCCAGCTAGAAACAGCAGAAGCAAGTGAGCAACAGCAAACTGGCAAGGCCACTAAGATCAAAGCAAGAATCCACGGAAGGCCACTGCCACAGGGTGACAGAGACAGCATTCACAGAGGCCACGGCTCATCCTCACCTGCTTCTCATATTCCTGGATCCTGACCTGGGACTCGGACAGGAACGCAGCACAGTTCTTCACCTTTAAGAGAAAGGAGAAACTGTCCTGAAACCAATGTATGTTGACCGCTGAGGTGCAAGCGGCTCTGGCCTGCCCTTTCCCACCGCCACCTAGGAAGAGCACGCCGACCTGGTCTAGAACACTGCTCAAGGAGGCAAACCACAGCTTTGCCAACACCCGCAAAGCAGCCAGGCAGGAAAGCAGCTCAGGACCCGTCACCGAACAGTCGCAACAGTCATGTGACTCTGGACCCTGGTGCCACTGTTGGCCTGAGGTATTTTCAGGCAAAAAGGTGTTTGGGTGGTGAGTGGATTGGTTTTTTGTTTGTTTGTTTGTTTGTTTTTTGGTTTTTCGAGACAGGGTTTCTCTGTGGCTTTGGAGGCTGTCCTGGAACTAGCTCTTGTAGACCAGGCTGGCCTCGAACTCACAGAGACCCGCCTGCCTCTGCCTCCCGAATGCTGGGATTAAAGGCGTGCGCCACCACCGCCCGGCCGAGTGGATTGTTTTTAACAGATCTGTTGGGTGTAAAACTGACACTGGGGTGAATGGATTTCCAGCACTTCCAATAGATCATGTAATTCACTGGCCACACCGTCATCAAACTCAACAGTGACGTATTTATCACCTCACCCCCACCTCTCCCTGAGCAGCCCCTCAGGCCTTCTGTTAGTAAAGATTAATTGCATTTTCTAGAGATTTATAGACAGGGCCTCACTGTGTACCTTTGGCTGGCCTCTGACTCCAGCTCTGCCTGTCCTCGCCCTCAGTGTACTGGGTATTAAGGTGTACACCTCATCGTCGACTTCTCTTTTTTTTAAGATTTTGTTTATCTATTATGTATACAGCACTCCATGTATGCCTGCAGGCCAGAAGAGGGCTCCAGATCTCATTACAGATGGTTGTGAGCCACCATATGGTTGCTGGGAATTGAACTCAGGACTCCAGAAGAGCAGCCAGTGCTCTTAACCTCTGAGCCATCTCTCCAGTCCTCACCATCAACTTCTAGTCAGTGTTATTTTTAGATTCATTCATGTCAATGCACTATTAACAATCCATCCCTCTTAATTCCTACAACACTTTAATTTTCACTTTAATTTCACTATCTACTCTTCCTACTAATGACAACCAGTGGTCATTAAAAAAACTTCAGGATCTGATCATAGTGGTGCATGCCTATAATCCCCGCACTTGGGAGGCCAAGGCAGGAGGATCACTATTGACTCTGAGGCCAACCAAGGCCACAGAGTGAGACCTTAGAACAAACAAACAAAAACCAAAGAAAATCTTGAAGAAAAACAAAGCACCCACTACTTACATCCTCCTTTTCCTCGCTGTCCACCAGGGCTGTGTATTTATCCTCAGGCACTGGGATCTTCAGGGCATTATACTAGGAACAAGAACAAAGTAGTCACCCTTGTACCCAAGAGCCCAAAGGACTGAAAGCCCCTACTCCTTATAGACTACACGAAAACACTCCATCGCTTCCAGTCTCTGCTATTATGGCAGGACGAGTTGGAAAGTCTCCTCAACCCTGTCACTCACCACCCAAAAGACCTTCCACAGTTCCTTATCACAAGTGTTAGTTTCCTCTTGTGACAATAGTTACTAGACTGACAATAGCCACTTAGCATCCTGCAATTTTTTTTTTTTTTTGGTTTTTCGAGACAGGGTTTCTCTGTGGCTTTGGAGACTGTCCTGGAACTAGCTCTTGTAGACCAGGCTGGTCTTGAACTCACAGAGATCCGCCTGCCTCTGCCTCCCGAGTGCTGGGATTAAAGGTGTGCGCCACCACCGACTGGCTAGCATCGTGCAATCTTAAGAAATTCTTTTTCACACAAACCCCCAAGGGCTGGTCCTTAGAAGAGTGCCCAGGATTACAGCCCTGACACTGTATGCTAAGCTACACAGAGCAGGCCTTCTAGAGGCATCTGCAAACGAATAAGCAAAGGAACTCTAGATATTGAGACATAATGTCTAAGTATCAAAAGAAGACAGATCACTGATGGGACTGGAGAGATGTCCCAGAGGTTAAGAGCACTGGCTGCTCTTCCAGAGGACCCAGGTTCAATTCCCAGCACCCACACAGCAGCTCACAACTGTCTATAATTCCAATTCCAGGGGGACTGATATCCTCATCAAGCTTCTGGCACCAGCCACGTGCATAGAAATATAAGCAGGCAAAACCCCATACACACAACATTAATTCTTTTACAAGAGGGAGGAACCAGAGACTAGAGTAAAGGGGAACTCGGGAGAAGGGCTAGCCCTGGTAGCCCTCTAGCTCCCGGAGCAAGGCTAGCCCTGGCTGCTGAGTGACTAGACCCCACCCTCTAAAGGTGCTCACTAAACCCATTGTGTGGGCCTTTGGCCACACCCACTTTTCACTCACTCGCCAGCCCCTTACAAGACCCAAGCTTTAGTAATCTGAAGGCTCACCTTCTTCTCAAAATCATCCACCAAGCCAGCCTTGGCCACGTTGGCCTTGTAATAAGCCCAGTCAATCGCTGGTGGTTTCTCAGGCAGATTAGCCAACCTGCTCATATGGAAAAGGAAAAGTCAGCACCGTTCCCAGAGCAAGACACTACTCACATGTAGTCTCCTAGTCCTTACCACAGCGGAGTGTCAGCACACTCTTCTCTGAAGGGCTGCCTCAAACATGCCAAAAAACATGCCTTCACTCGCAAATCACATGGCTTCCTTTGCGCTAGACTATCAGGAATGCCTGTGTCGTGCTGGCAAGATGGCCAAGTGGAGTGGGTAAAGGCAGTTGCTGCTGACCCTGAGGACACGTGCTCAATGCCTGGACTCACAGGGTGGAGAAGGCAGAGAGCCACCCACAAGTTTTCCTCTGCCATCCACATGTACCCGTGGCACAGCAAGTGGTAGGTGCACCCACACACACAAAATGATGATAAATGTCACACCCTGCTGCCAGGCGCAGTGACCAGTAGAGGGGGCTCTATCTCACAACACACTCACCTGGTGTGGAGGATCTCATTCCACGACTTTAGGGAGTTTGCAATTGTCTTTTGGTTTCGGGGTATGATCTCCACAAAAGACACCCAGTCAATGGTTTTTAGGGCAAGCTTACGCCCGGCCATCTTGGGATCCTAAAAACAAAACAGGTCGGATTAAACAGTGCCCGTGGAGAGGACCCCCGAAGGAGAACATTTCAGGGAAATACAAGTCTTTCTAAACCAGCATCGTTTAAACACTTGGTCAGTCTACACACAGCTAAGGAATTGGGACTTGGGGCTCAGTTGTTGGAATGCTTGCCCAGTATGGACAAAGCCCTGGGTCCCATCTCCAGCACCTCATAAGCTGAGGCGGAGGCAGGAAGATCCAAGGTTCAGGGTCATCGCTGGTTACACAGTGAGTTCAAGGCCACCCTGGGGTACCTGGGAGACTGCCTCAACAAATCGGAAATGGGAAGTTAAGCTTCTCAGTTCAAGCTGTGTAACGCAGAACACAATTCTACTGGACTACCCCTCCTTCATCCCAATCTTTATCGTTAGAAACCCATTTCTACTTTTTGCTCTACATGTGTCTTTGTGACTATTGCCACCGGACATTCATACACAAAAGCCAAATAAGTAACAAGTAACAATTGTGCTTTATCCACTGATTCTTCACCATACAAAAACTTGACTGAGAAAATTTGACAAAGCTTCAAAAAGAGCAGACAAAACTTCCTCATCTGCAAACTGGGGAAAAGAGCTGTTAAAAACACCAGGTGAAAGTGTGGGCGTCAGTTCGCCCCAGTTTTATACTCACTTCGGGGACTCTCAAAACCTGCCGTACACCTGAACCCTCATATTCGCGTCATACTGTCCACAGCAAACATGCCTTGCATTTCCAGAGGCATTGTACACAAACGACAGTGAGAGAAGAAAGTGACTGCAACTTAAACCAAATAAGACAAAATACAGGAAATCGCTACCATCGGAGGACGGTAAAGTGGAACCGTGTGTACATGGTTTCCAGGCGCAGTGGAGGATAACGATCAAAGTTGTCAAATGCCAGTCCCCTTCCTTCCCTCCTAGAGCAGCTTACATCTCTAGGAAGGGAGAGGCTAAGCAGTTGTCAGATGAACGAAAGCTTCTGGAGAACGAATGCACTTCCCTAGGCACGAGGGGAACTCAGGAGTCACAGACGCCTTGTTGCCCGGCTAATCATCTCTAGCGCCTGGAACCGGTCATGAGAATGGGGAATGATCGGTGGTTACTCGGCCAACCGGGGAAACGTGTTGTTTTGCTTAAGATTAGGAATTAGAAGGGCGCGCGAAAGGAGAAACAGGAGTGCGAGCACGGAGCAGGGACCGGCGCGATGGACGGAGCACGAGCCATGGAGGGCACATTAATCACGGTTTAGTTAGTATAGCGGCGGGAGAGCGAGAGGGGGGAGGAGAGAAGAACGTGGAGAGAGAGGAGAGAAGGAGAGAGAGGTAAGAGAGAGGGTAAGTGGGCGGGGGGGGGGGGTCCTGTCTTTTCAAGGGGCCCTTTGCACCTGCGAGCAGACTGGTTCTCAGGAACCCTGGGCTGGCCAGACAGCTGCCCGAGGGCACTCTGCCAGGTGACAGGGCCGGGCCAGCGTAATGCCTGAACCTTTCAAAACGAACCAGAGAGACCTCGGGTGTTACCCACACCGCAGGGAGGGGAGGACGGAGCCCCGGCCCCCTCAGAAAGCGATCACTACGGCTACGTGATGCTTCCCCCGACCCACAAACGGCACTCCTGAGCCCGCCACTCAGTGTGAGGCGCGGTTTGCGGCAACATCTAAATCAAGGGCCACGGGCCAAGTCACAGCCAGGCCCCAGCAGCGCCCGGCGGCCAAGGTGAGCGGGGGGCAGAGCGGTGACCTCCGGCGCCCGGCCAGCGGGGCAGCCCGAAGACCCGACGTCCTCCCGCGGCGGCGGAGCGAGCGTCAAAGCGAGGTCCGGAGGCATCTAACGCAGAAGAGCCCGCGGAGACCGCACCCAACACCCCGAGCCCCACTCACCTTCGCCGACCCCGGCGGAGCGCCGTCTCTCCAGCAGCAAGGAACGGAAGTGGACCGCCGGAAGTTCTCCCCTCTTTCGGCTAATCCGAAAGAGCAGCAGACGGGCTCTCGCTCCGCACGTCATCCAATGAGCACGGAGCCAGACTGAGGAAGTCCCGCCTCCGAAGGCGGGCGGGCGGGCGCGGCGCCTGCGCAGTCGGGGTCTCGGTTGGTCGGGGGCGCTCCCGTCCCTCTCCCCCTGCCCCACCCCCGCCGATGGGCCGGCCCGGCTCTCCCTGCCGAGGAATGGGCCGGCCCGGTGGCGGGCGGGCGGGCAGGCGGGCAGGCGGACGGGCAGCGGCGGCCCAAGATGGCGGAGCTGCAGCTGGACCCGGCGATGGCGGGGCTGGGAGGGGGTGGCGGGAGTGCGGTGGGCGACGGGGGCAGCTCGGGCCGCGGGCCCCCCAGCCCCCGGCCGGCCGGCCCCACGCCCCGCGGGCACGGCCGCCAGCCCGCCGCCGTCGCGCAGCCGTTGGAGCCGGGGCCCGGACCTCCGGAGCGGGCGGGGGGCGGCGGGGCGGCCCGCTGGGTCCGGCTCAACGTGGGCGGCACCTACTTCGTGACCACCAGGCAGACCCTCGGCCGGGAGCCCAAGTCCTTCCTCTGCCGCCTGTGCTGCCAGGAGGACCCGGAGCTGGACTCGGACAAGGTGCGCCCCGCCCTCGGGCGCGCCCCCGGGCGGTGGGACCCCCGTCCTAGGCTAGGGTCCCGATCTCTGGGAGGACGCGCCCCCCTCCAGCAGGCCCTGCACACCCGGGCTTCGGTCCGCTTTCGCGACCCCCCGGGTTAGCACCTGCCGCCCTGGAAGGATCTCCCCTCCCCATTCCCTCCCCCCCGGCTTCCCTCCGCACCCCGCCCTTTTCTCGGCTGCTCCTTCCAGGCGCCGCGTCCACCTGCGCCCACGGGAGCCCCCTGCGCACTCCTCTCGCGTTCTCTGCCCCTCCCGAGGAGCCTACCTTGTCAGATCTGCATAAGTTGTTGTTTTTCCCCCCCTGGCTGCTATACAGCCCCCGCTGCTGGTGCCAGATGCATTCAGAACTGGGTCAGGGTGGACGACCACATCGTTGTCACTTTTCCCAGGACTCCCTGTTCGATCCCTCTGCAAAGTGATAGTAAACTTGAGGTTTAACGATAGATCGCGTCCACCGCTGAAGTCTGCAGGAGGTACTCTTGGCGGTGTTACACAGCTCTCCTAAAATCCTGGTCCCAGAACAATCGCGGTTTCGGTACATTTTTGGAAGGAAATGGGTTCCTTGGAAAGATGATTGCACTTGCCTATGCAAATCTAGGCTGACCAGTTAGGACTCCGCAAATGTGCAGATTGAGGAATACTCTTAGACAGGGCGGAGGACCGCTAACCAAAGGGTTGAAGCGTGGCAAGACATGCCATTCATTTCCAGTTTAACTGTAACTTTTGCGGGTTTATCTTTGATTCTCAGATGCATTGGCTGTACACCGCCCTCCATAAAGCACGCCTGTGGTTAACAGAGTTAGACTGGCATAAACACTTAACCAATTTCATCTGTTCTCCTCTGGTACCAAATTGATGGGAACCTAAGCCATCCTGTCTGAAGAGATTCTAGAACTCCTGTTTATGGGGAGCTATTTTTATATACCCTAAGTCTTCCTTATGGCCACAGAAGCCAGTTTGTTTCTTTTGCTGTGAAGATGAGTAGGATTAAAGCCGCCCAGAGCCAAGTCCCGGCAGTACCACGCTTCCTCTGGGCATAGAGCTGAGATGTGTGAAGTTACAGCTGGCAGTGCCGACTCCCACCGATGTTGGCCTTGGGCTCAGGAGAGTTGCCAACAGAGCCGAGGCTTTCTTAGAATGAGGAGTGTAGTCCAGGGTCAGCCAAGAACCAAAGTGCTCAACACAGCGGTGGCGTTCCCTTCATCCCCTGTAACTGATACCTTACAGAAGAACCCAGTAAATTAAGGCCTAGCAATGGGGATGACTGTGCGTCTAGGACATCTGACCTGGAATTATGTTAAAGCCAGCCTTGTGGCCAATAGTCTAAAATAAGCAAACTGTGTAGCGTAACAGGCCTCAATTAAAAGAAAAAAAAACAGGGATTAAAGGATGTACCACCGCACCTGACATTGTTTTTTAGCTGATGGAATCAATGTGTTGCCTGCGCTCGCTGACAGATTAGGGGAAATGCTATTTAGGAAATATTCCTGTGGTTCACAGTGCTCGGTTGTGCTTGGTTGACAGGACGAGACTGGAGCCTATCTGATTGACAGAGACCCCACCTACTTTGGTCCTATCCTAAACTACCTCCGACATGGGAAGCTCATCATTACCAAGGAGCTGGCAGAGGAAGGTAAGGGCTCCTAACCGGGCGGTTTCTAGCCTGCAGTCCAATAGAGCTGCTCCCCAGGCTTGCTCTCGTGTGGGGTCCTCACTGGAGGTGTGCGAGTGTAACTCGTGATGGGAGAAGTGGGCAGGAAGCCTGCAGTTCCCAGGGCTTGCCCGGAGAGCCTTGGAGGAGGCTGCACTGGGCTCTGTTCAGCTGCCATAGTGGGAAGCCGAGTGTCTCTGCCTGCAGATTGCTGTAGGCTTCTAAGCCCGCAGCACTGATTTTATTCGAGGCAGTGAGTGCTTGTAGCCTGAAGCACCACATGTCTGGCGTTCGGTTATTTTTATTTTCCCATTTTCCTTTGGACTTTAAAAATAATATTAATAAAGGCCTGACCTCCTTTCTTTAAGACTTTGGTCTCATGCTTCCCTGTGAAGTCGGGCAGCTGACCCAATTCACTCTGCAGCTCACTGGCAGCCGAGTCCCTGGCTGCCTTGTCACTGCTTTGTAGGGCATTTGGATTGTAAGTGGGCCTAGTCCTTCATGGGAAAGGCCTGCCTGGTCTCTCTGGAGGCACCGGTGTCCTTTCCTAAATCCAGGACCCAAACCTCTGGCTAGGAAAGCTTGTAATAGCAAGGAAAGCTTGCAGTAAATAGCAAGCCGCTTCATTAATGAGTGCGGCCAGGAGAGGGATGTGCATTCTTGCTCATCGTCATCCCTCTCCCTGAAGGGAATCTATAAATGACCTTGTAAGAAACAAAATTCAAGCAGGGCGGTGGTGGTGCACACCTCTAATCCCAGCACTCAGGAGGCAGAGGCATGAGGATCTCTCTGAGTTCCAGGACAGCCTCCAAAGCTACCAGAGAAACCCTGTCTTGAAAACCCAAAAAGGGGAAGGGGGGAATCATTTCAGATTCCTACTTGAGTAATAGGAAACATGTAGCAAATTCTATGGGCTGGATATCCTAACAACTGGTGCCTTACAGTCTCTTCATGTCTTTAATAAAAACCACTTCATGTTGAGCCAGTGACGTGGCCAGCAGCTCACAGATCTTATGGCCAAGCCTGACAACCGCGTTCAGTCCTGGTCCCAACATGGTGGAAGGAAACGACCTCCATGCTCACGCCCCTCCCACTCATGCTTACAAATAAGATGGAGTTTCAGTATGTAGTCCTGGCTGACCTGGAACTTAGATCCATCTGCCTCTGCTGGGATTAAAGAGTGCACCACCACACCTGACAAAAGTAAATAAATGTTAAAAAGCAATTTTAAAAACACTTTATTTCAGCTGGACAATGGTGGCACACTCCTGTAATCCCAGCGTTCAGGAGGCAGAAGTAGGTGCATCTCTGAGTTCAAGGCCAGCCTAGTCTACAAAGTGAGTTCCAGGACAGCCAGGGCCATTATACAGAGAAACCTTGTTTTGAAAACAAACAAACAAAAACACTTTATTTTGAAATAATTTTGGAGTTGGAGAAAAAGGCATGAAAAATATAAAGTTTGCTTTACCAAGATTAACCAGTCTTGAACATTTTTTGCTATGTTTTCTTGTATCACTGAACTTTGTTCCTCCTCCCTCATCTCCCTCATTCTCCTGCGAGTTTCTCTGAACTGTTTGAGGGTAGATGCTGATTTCACCCTAGTAATTCTCTGTGTTACTCTAAAAACAGGAACCCGGTATAATCCTGTTTTACAGCTCAGGAAATATTGATCGTGTATCTGCATCTTTCCAGTTTGTCAATTGTTGTGATAATGTTCATTAGAACATTTTTTCCTAGTGCGGGGTCATATGTCCCAGAATTGTTGTAAGATCTTTGATTTTGTTTACCATGAGAGGAGTCGGTGATTGTCTGCCCCCCCACACACACACACACCTTTTTTGTCAGCTGGGGACCAAACCTTGCTAAACAAGCATTTTACCACTGCCCAGCCCTGATGGCCTTTTAATGGTGTTCAGGTAATGATTACCCTATTAAATTCTTAAGTTTATGTATGTGTACCTACCCACCAGCCATTTTTAGGAAAACAGGAACCATTTTTAGGAAAACAGGTAAATGCTGCAGGGTCAGGAGTTGTCCACCGGCAGGTTCCAGGAACTGGTTGACTTTGGATGGCTAATGAGTGGGTGCCAGGAGGAAGCGGGAGGGATAAGATGACACCAAAGAAACCCTGTATTGGAGCTGCAGAGACGACTCCGTGGTCAGGAGCACCGGCTGCTCTTTCAGAGGACTTGGGTTCAGTTCCCAGCACCCACATGGCAGCTCACAAGTGTCTGTAACTTCAGTTCCAGGAGATCTGACACCTTCACATACATGCAAGCAAAACACCAATGCACATAGAAACCCCTCTATTTTGGGACTTTTTTATTTGGTAGGTTTGGTTTTGGTTTTTTTTGATTGGTTGGTTGGGTTTTTTTTGTTTTTTGTTTTTCTAGACAGGGTTTCTCTGTGTAGCCCTGGCTGGCCTTGAACTCACAGAGATCCATCTGCCTCTGTCTCCCAAGTACCGGGGCTAAAGGCGTGCGCCACTGTGGTCACAGGTATGCAGAAGGCACAGGAATAAGAGCTGAGGGGAAAGAGATGCGCTCTCCCTTGGGGTCATCAGGTCTCAGAGAGCAGCGAGCACTGACCTTGGGTGCTTGGCTTCTCATGTAAGTGACTTCTCCCTAAATAAATATCATGTGACATCTCTATCCTGTCTAGGCTAATCTACCTCAATATCTGGTGTCAGGAAGTAAGTTTTGTGTTACTACTTTAGACAGAACTAGTCCATGAGAAGCCCTGGACATTGGCCG